TGCCTGAAAGGTTATCTGGATGGCTTTGGATGGAAAAGTGTTCAACACGGCAGTTGTGCGTATCATCAAAATGTCCAACTTTTTTTTTGGGGTCATCATCATCCGAGGTAGTATACGGCCTGCAAATTCGTTACAAGACTCAGATAGTCCAGTCAGCTACATGACCAAATCCGACTGGAGGTTAAAGATGGCTTCATAGAGTATTCAAGATGGCCGTCTTTAAAGTGATCAATATGAGAGTTGTTAGACTACTCAAGATGCACACATTTTATGTTTGGGTTGTCTTGATCGGAGGTCATATGCAAATTAGACGGCCCGCGCAAGGAGCAAGACAGAAGTTTGGGCCAGATTCAGACAGAATCCAAGTTGGACTAGAACTAGGACTCTAGGACGTGAATTGATGTAATTTTTCGTGTAAGGAAAGCCTAGATGAATCCTTTGCTTGTACGGGAAGTCCAGCCGCCTCTTATATATGTTGGAGGTAACGGTCGATTGAACAACACACAATTGAACAAATCAATATACTACTTTTTCATCTACGTTTTATCTCTCCATCGTTTATCTCTCTCGTTCTTCGCTGTTCCTCGAGTTTGAGAGCTGCAAATCCCGAGGCTCTAGGGGTGAGCGAATCAATCTAGGGTAGCCCATAGCTACTGCACTCCCTGACGGGGTCCCTCCCGGGCGTGTGGGGTTTCAGGTCGCGTATCACGCTATCGGCTGGGTCTCCTTCGACGTGAGCTATGGTGCATCACCCCCGGTGTCGAGGGTACACATGACGTGTTCGTGTGTCAACAAACAGTAAAATTGCAGTCGAATACATTGTGTTGGACGCGGGAACTCTGTAGGTTACGACCAACTAAGGTGCTGCTCTGTTTCACCTCTGCGGTCGGTCTTGCCGGACAAGTACCTAGTCTTGCTCGTTGATCAGTGCACCAATTATATTAGTACTATAATCCTGTTTTTCATTTGGCTTATGCATCATTTGGCCAACTTCATTGCTTTTTTAACAGTACATGTTTTGACTGAATTTATCCAAATGCAACAAATTCAACTATTCATCGTCATTTTGCAGAACAACGCACAAAGGCACTATAAAAATCTAGTAATTGTCAAAGGGAAAAAAGACAAGAAGGGAGGGATCAACTTGTGCTAAGACTTCATAAGTAGGAGGAGAGAGAAGGGAAGGGAAGAGGGCAACCAGATAAGGATAGAAGAGAAGGGAGAGGATGCAGATAGAGGAGGGGGAGAAGGCAAAGGATGTGCCACACACTCGACATCGGACGCTGGGTGTATGATCCCCTGACTTGCTGCCGATGATGCCTCTCACCAGAAATGAGAGACGGCTGTCTCATCACGTGTGATTCCTGCAATTGTATTCTAACAGAGTAGAAACGAAGAATCTCAAACATGAGAGGTCCTAAGATCTTGCAACATAGGATAAGATCTTGCATGGGAAGTACCTTCTATCCTTTTAGTTTCGTATGATCAAAAGCAGGTGCTGGAATAGACCTACTGTATAAATTCAGCCTCCATCTTTACTATCTACAGTGCATACAAATTACAAATGTGTCTTCGTCATTCACAACAGTCAAAGAAATTTTACCAATGGAAATGGCCAGTTAGAAGAAGGTTACCTGCTGATTCGTGTATGTGCCGTCAGTAATATCATTGAATTTTTTCACCTCACAAAGATGAATCTCTTTGTACTTCCTATAGTACCACAGTCATGCTAGTTGGACAGTAAAGAGACACACGAAAAGAGATAGAAGAAAGTTTAGGGAAAACTCAAAACGGTGCCCGGGCTCATCTGCTCCCTCTCAGCAAAAAATTCAAAAAAAATACTAGAAAAATTCAAAAAATTCCAATTTTTTTTGTGGTGGTAGATAATTTGACGCGTGAGGTGCTCCCCAAAATTCAACTCATTTGGACATCTGAGCAGCTCTCGGCAAAAAAAACAAATCGGGTCAAAACAGTGCGTGAACAGTAAACATTTTTACAGACCCTGATTTTGTCTTTTTTGCCGAGAGCTGCTCAGATGCTCAAATGAGCTGATTTTTGGGGCGCACCTCACGCGTCAAATTATCTACCACCACAAAAAAAATTAGAATTTTTTAAATTTTTCTAGTTTTTTTTGAATTTTTTTCTAAGCGTGGGTGTAGATGAGCCCGGGTGCAGATTAGCCGCACTCAAAGTTTAGGCCATACACAACAACAAGTAATGAAGCGACACCAATAAACTCAGCTTGTCTCGCTGTGAGGAGTTGGCCAATGTATGAATCCGAAGGTAAAGTGTGTCAGCCAGAAGTTTGAACTCGTCAACCACATCCATCAGCCAATCCACCACGATCCCAATATAGTCATCCCTCGGCCTCCTCGATTGTTCAACCTGTAATGTCACAAGATGCAAAAAAATCACACAGGTGTACCTCATTTAGTCAAGGAGTCAATTAGCATAAGGGGTCAAGAACAAATACATCATTCGAGGGGGGGGGGCAGAGAAAAAGCTTCAGAATGTGCTTTTCAATGGGTGTTCCAAAAATTATTGGGGGCGCGAGGAGATTGGAAGCGGGTTGGATTTGGCCTGGCTGGGTGGACCCGGGTCACGATTGGAGAGGGCAAGAGGCGATGGCTGCTAAAGTCCCCGCCGGCAATGACACAACCACCTATCTCGAGCGTGCAGAGCCACAAAATAGGATTCAGGGGCGAAGGTGACGCGTCGGACTGGGCAGCAGCGGCTGCAGCAAGCTCCTCTTATGCGTTTGTCTCTGTTAAGCATCCAATCGAAGCGCATAGCCCCGCCGGCGCCAGCCGCGAGAGAGATGGCGAGCTCGTCCCGTCCACCTCCAAATTCACCGGCGGGGAGCCAAGGATCTATAGGCCCTTGGCGGCGGGAAGCGAGCGCACGAGAAGATCGAGCCAGAGGGTTCAAAGAGGAGGAGGTGGCGTGTCTGGGTGGAGACGATGCCTGATGAGAGGGGAGGCGTCCAGACTCGAGACGAGGATGTTGACGTGAGGGTCGATGCGGATTGCGAAGTTGCCTTCGTAGGGAAGGAAACGACCGAGGAAGTTTCCTAGAAATTCATTGGCCACAACCTTCGCGTCTCCTGCCGACGTGGACATGCCCCACACGCAGAACCAACCAACACTTGCGCGTCTCCTGCCGACGTGGACATGTTGAGTGGGTGCGCCTTGCGCGTAGCTTATTGTTGTGGATGACCCGGAATTTACCTTGAGCCAATTCTCGCTCTATTTTGTTTTCCCAGGGTGAAGTTTAACATGGGTAAACCCAAATTAAACTAGAGGCTAATGTTGGGTTAAACTGGAGGCTAATGTTGGCGATATACCTCACGGTATGACCCGACCAAATATGACCCGAAAGTCTTGTGGCGGCTTAAAGACGACCCGACCGTTTGAGCCGTGACGAGCCACAAGATTCAAGGCCCGGGGGCGGGTTGAGAAGGCTGGCTCACAGCCCGGAGTCTGGCTGCACCGGCTCAAGAAGGAAGCCAGAAGGAATCTCCCTTACGTGAGGAACAAGATAAGTAGGAAATAGACTAAGACACGGGTTGTATTACGACCCGAAGTCAATTGTAAACCGGAGGACTCACCTGTTATATAAAGGGGAGCCCCTAGGACAGAAATGACTAAGTTACAAGCTCTCGAGTTAGTCAAAGTCACACCCTTTGTAACTGAGATCTCAAGCAATAATTAATCAAGCAGGAAGTATGCTTTTACCTCCACCGTGAGAGGGCTGAACCTGGGTAAACTCGTGTCTCTCGATTCCGATCAACCCCGTTTGAGCTACTACCTAGCTGCGATGGCCTCACGACTAAGTCCTTTTTCGAGGACATCTACCGTGACAAAACCATGACAGACGGCCTCTGCCTCGGCCTGGGGTGGGACAACCGGCGGTCTCTACCCTGACCTCGGCGCGGGAGATGTGTGGCGCGAGGTGGCGACGCGACTGCCTGCGTAGAAACATGGCGGTGCGAGCGGCGGCCGACGACAACATTTGCAACAGTGGTCACGTGAATCGAGGCGATGGTAGGTCTTACCGGTGAGAGCGCCTAGCTCCAGCGGCGAGCATCGACACTCCTGCATCTTGGAGCACACAGAGGAGAGGAAGAGGGATTTGCTCCTAAGGGCACCTGATTGGCTGGCCCCTCTCCTCCCGCTCCAGACCGCCGGCCTGGCAACGGCGGCAGCCAGACGGTGGCGACGCGACGTGTCTCGGGCGCAGGCCCTCTTTAGGCGGGATGTTGAAGATAAGAGCACCAACAAATTTTTAAATTTTTGTTTTTTGCCTATGACAAGTGGACCCCATACAACCACACAATGATGATAAACGTTAGCCAACTTTGCCGTTACACGCAAAAAAAAAAGCTGTGTCATGTCAGCCTGATTGGCGGATCCAATCTACTGTATTACAAACACACTCAGGCCTCCTTTGGTTCATAGGATAGGAATTTTATAGGAATAGGAAAATCATAGGAAATGAGATGACATGCATCTCAATTCCTACAGAGAAAGAGATGTTATTTGGTGTATAGGATAGGAATTTTTCCATTGAGTCTAGGCTAATGTTTTTTTTTCCTCCAAAATATGAAGGATTGATTCCTATCCTACATATGAATAGAAATCCATTCCTATAAACCAAAGGGCTTCAAATAATTTTTTCTTTTGCAAATCCTATCCTATAGAGTTCCTACAAAATTCCTACAAACCAAAGAAGGCCTCAATCGTGCAAAATCCATCGATCAGTGTTTTCAAAAAAAGAATACACAAGACTTAATGTTTTCTCGCCGGAAAAAAAAGTAACATGGTGCTTTGTGCAAATCTAACCTTGAACGCGGCGCTTTGCTGCAATTTACTCCTTCCTTCGTTTTCTCTTCCTTCGTTCGTTCTGGTCGTTTCGGTGAATCGATCTCGCCCACCAAACCCGACCACCCGATCCCCCGGACAGCCGGAGAGCGAGGCGAAGCGGCGACGCCTACCGCAACCATGCTCAGGGTCGCAGGTCGACGCATATCCTCCCATCTCGCATGGCGCCCCGCCGCGGCCGCCTCCGCCGGCAGCAGCCCCCTCGCCGGCGGCCTCCCTGGCGACGACTTCCCCCGGGACCAGAATCCGCGCTTCGCCATCGAATCACCCTTCCACGTCGCTGCCAGAGGTGCACTTCCTGCCGCCCCGGTCCCTCCGTCAATGTCTCCCTCCGATCTGCGACACATGGGGAACCCATCCCTGTTCCTAGGGTTTACAGAGCCAGCGTTGGGCGTGGCCATCTAGAGTTGAAAATCATCTGAGATTTGAGGGATTTGAGTTAGGGATTGGAGGGAGTGTGAAGAGCATTTGGGGAATTTCTGGATCGTTCCTCACCGATCCCTTCTCTGTGTTCTGATTTATATTTGTTTGTACAATTTACATTTTAGACCCTAAGGATTCCTCTAATTACATTATCTATACACCAACACTCTCCCTCAAGATGGGGCGAAGATGTCATACAGACCCATCTTGCTACAAAACATGGAAAAAGTTTTTTCAGTGAGTCCTTTTGTAAGTACATCTGCTACTTGACTGGCTGAAGTTACATATGGTAGGCGAATTATCCCTCTATCAAGCTTCTCCTTGATGATGATCAATTTCTATGTGCTTGGTTCGATCATGCTGAACAGGATTATTTGCAATATCAATGGCAGCTTTGTTGTCACAGTACAACATCAGAGGTTTGTGCTTGTACAACCGCAACTCTGCTAGGAGAATCTGCAACCATAATAACTCACATATGCCGTGAGCCATAGACCTAAACTCGGCCTCTGCAGTAGACCGAGCCACCACATTTTGTTTCTTACTTCGCCATGAAACTAGGTTTCCTCCAATAAATGCACAGTAACCAGATGTTGAGCGCGTGTCATCTAGGGAACCAGCCCAATCAGCATCTTGCAAGTCCCCTTGTCTGGTATATAAGAGGCCTTTTCCTGGGCACCCTTTAAGATACCGTAGGATCCTATTTACAGCTTCCATATGAACTGATTTTGGGTCATGCATGTATTGGCTAACTACACTCACAGCAAAGGCAATATCTGGACGGGTATGAGATAAATATATTAATCTTCCAACTAGTCTTTGGTAGCGCTCTCGATCCACTGGTGTCCCTGCATCACTACATAACCGATGATTTTGCTCAATAGGTGTAGCAGCAGGTCGACAACCAAGCATACCTGTTTTCTTGAGCAGATCCAAGATATATTTTCGCTGTGAGAGAAAAATACCCTTTGACCCTCGTGAGACCTCTATACCAAGAAAATATCTTAGTTGTCCCAAGTCCTTCACTTCAAACTCGTGTGCAAGATGACACTTCAGATCTGCAACTTCCTTGGAATAATCTCCAGTAATCACAATGTCATCGACATACACTATCAAGATGGCAACCTTGCCATTAATATGCTTGTAAAAGAGTGTATGGTCAGCATTACTTTGAAGATAACCCCTTTTTAGCATAGCATGTCTAAAGCGATCAAACCAAGCTCGTGGTGATTGCTTTAAGCCGTATAAAGAACGGTGTAGGCGCAATACCTTTCCAGCAATTTGACTTGACTCAAACCCAGGCGGTATATGCATGTATACTTCTTCTTGAAGATCATCATGAAGGAAAGCATTCTTCACATCCATCTGGTGAATATCCCAATCAAAGTTTACAGCACATGATATAAGTGTCCTTACTGAATTCATCTTTGCCACCGGTGCAAAGGTCTCTTCATAATCGATTCCATATGTTTGCGTGTAGCCTTTTGCTACAAGGCGGGCTTTGTACCTCTCCACCTTGCCCTCAGGGGTGTGTTTAATAGTGAAGACCCACTTACAACCTACAGGTTGCTTACCTGGTGGTAGATCCACAAGCTACCAAGTCTCATTCTTCTCCAAGGCTTTCATCTCATCAAGCATTGTTTCCTTCCAATTTGGGTCCTCTATAGCTATTTTCCAGTTTGATGGTATGGAGACAGGATCTAAAGATGCAATAAAGCTTTTGAAGGGTGGAGTGCAGTATTCGTAGGAAATGAAATTGGCTATATCATGTTTAAAATCTTTGAGGTGTCTTGGAATGTTTCGATTTCTAGTAGGTTTCCTTACAACAATAGGTAGATCATTTTCAGGAGCAAGGATAGATAATTGGTTATCACTCTGCCTTGTGGTGCTAATAGGAGCGACGGGACTAGAGGGGTTATTGTTAGTACCTGGGTCCTCATGCCTGTGAAGCTCACCATCTTGTGAAGGAAGTGAAGAGTTTTCTGTTGCATCTTGTATATCTCCATGACCAAAACCATGATTACACCCATCACTATTTGGGTCCTCCCCCTGATTTTGAACATTATCTAGAGTGGGTAAAACATCCGAAGTGGAAACAAGAATAGGGCTTAATGGAGAGCCTTCATTACCCCTCTCCCCTTCTTGTTGCACTTCAGGTGGGGATAGGGCAATGCCAGTGTAATTGGTTGTGCCATAATATGATTCATGTTCACGGAATGTCACATCCATGCTCACAAAAAACCGGTGCTCCGAAGGGCACCAACACCTATAACCCTTTTGAGAGGGAGAATAACCCATGAAAACACATTTGAGAGCACGGGGATCTAATTTTCCAACAGAGTTCCTATAATCATGCACAAAGCAAACACACCCAAAGACCTTAGGAGGAACTACAAAATCACTAGATTTCAAGAGACACTCAGCAGGAGTCTTATGGCCAAGAACCCGAAGAGGCATACAGTTTATCAAATATGTTGCAGTTTTTGTTGCTTCCCCCCAAAGAAATTTAGGCACGTTCATTGTGAACATAAGTGAGCGTGCAACCTCAAGCAAATGTCTATTTTTACGCTCTGCAACACCATTTTGTTCTGGAGTGTTAACACAAGTAGTTTGATGTTTAATGCCGTTTGAGACAAGGAACTGTGCAAACTCCTGGTTCATGTATTATGTACCATTATCTGAACATAAGGTTTTAATAGTTGCCCCATGTTTATTTTTAATGAGAGCGCATAGATCTTTAAAAACTGAGCACACATCACTCTTATGCTTCAAGAGATAGAGCCAAGTATAACAACTAAAGCAATCGATAAAAGTTACAAACCATCGATGCCCAGAAATCGAACGAACCTCACAGGGTCCCCAAACATCCGAGTGAATCATTTCAAATGGTTTGGCACTTCTTAATCCTATACTAGGATATGAACCTCTTGTATGTTTAGCCAATTCACAAGCATCACATACAAGCAGCTCCCTAGGACACAACTTGAAAAGAGAAGGGTAAATACGAAATAATGCAGCAAAAGAGAGATGCCCAAGCCTGCGATGGTGTAGTAGTAGCTCTTGACTAGGAGACAAGAAGCATGATGCAAAAGCAACTTCATCACTCCCTTCATCAAGATAGTAGAGTCCATCATGCACGGTCCCAGTCCCCAACAATCTGCCTGTCTCTAGCTCTTGAAAAGCACAACAACTAGGATAAAACAGACCTCTGCAATTGAGAGATTCAGTAATAGAGCTAACTGACAAGAGATTGATTGGAAATTTAGGAACATGTAAGACATGAGATAAGGACAATGTCTTAGTGCACCTAACAGATCCATGTCCTGTGATAGGTGCCATGGATCCATCAGCTACACGTACTTTGTCCTTACCTGAACAAGGTGTATAGGAAGTGAATATATTTGAAGCTCCTGTCATGTGATTGGTAGCTCCTGTATCAATAATCCAAGATTTTGATTGCGTTGTAGAATTGTGGTGAGGTGTCATACCTTGGTGTGAAGTGGCATGAAAACTAATTTCAGCTTTAGAGGAATCCTGGAAGGAGGACAAGTCTTCTGAGAGTCTAGTCTTGGAGGTGAAATCCTCAAGAGCTCGCACTTCTACTACCGGTAGCTCCCTCTTGGATGTAGTAAGGTTCGCCTATCTTTTATGAGCTCCCTGACCTCCCCCTGGCTGAGACTTTCCTTTTTCCCACCAAGTTGGATAACCATGCAGCTCAAAGCATGAATCCTTTGTGTGTCCAGGCCTTTTGCAATGGTTGCAAAAAAGTTTGCTTTTATCTGTTTTAGCAAAGGTCTTAGGAGCACAACGAGCTTGTATGGATAGGGCTGCACGCGCATCTGATTTTTCTTGAACATGCTCATTGGGTTGAGCAAGACGAGTCTCCTCCTCAATCACACTGGAAATGATATCATCAAGGCTTAGCCATTCAGTTTTGGAGAATATTAGCTGGCGGCGGAGATCAAACTCCTGATTGAGCCCATCAAAGAAGAGCTTGCCCACAAATGGTTCAAACCAGGTATGGTGAACAGCCACATCATTCTTGTCAACGGGTTGAAAAGGACGGTAATAATGCAACTCCCTATACAATCTCTTCATCTCACCTGCATACTCAGTCATTGATTTTGAGCCTTGCTTCAAGTTAGTCAACTCCTGCATGATGCGAGTAGCCTGCATCTTATTTGATTTTCCTGAAAATTGCTTCTCCAAAGCTTTCCACACTTCAAATACAGTGGTCATAGTCTCAACTTGTTCTCGTGTCGGTGGTTCCATGCTTCCTAATAACCACACCAAAACTCTATCATTGATCTGTTTGGTGATAGTACCACTTTTCAGTTTCTCTTCATCGGCTTAAGCAATTCTTCGTAGCCATGAGAACTTAGAATTAACTGGGCATGCCGTGCCCAGCTGATGTAATTGCCGGGTCCAGCCAACTTCACTGGATTGGGCTCAAGTGCATACTTGACAGCTTCAGGAACCACTTTGAGTTGTTGCTGTTGCTGCTCAAATACTTTGCTTAAAATTTCATACAACTTATCCACACTAGTATCCCCTGATTTCCCCTTTGTTGGATCTGCCATGATTTACCACCACACAAAGAAAAAACCAACACACAGGACTTGGTTTTTTCAGATCTCCACTAACAACAACACACAGGCAGTACAAGCAGAGTACAAGCAGAGTTGGTACTAGCCAAGTAGATATACTAGTGCGGGTTGCTCTCAAATGCACACAGACTGCACAAGTATTTTAATCCGGCCACTAGGCAAAGATGAGCTATCCAGCTGCACTAATCACGGTTCTCCAACGGCAGCCACAAGTACTAGTACCGGCTGCACTAATCAATTAACTACAGAAGACAGCTTA